TATATATATTATATATATATATATATAAATTTCGTATAAAATAAAATAAGAAGGAACCGAATAGGACCGGTAAAAAACTCCACGAGAAGAGTTTTTCAACCTAAAGGAGGGATTCAATAATAAGGATATAGACTGGCTAAAGAATGAGGACCAGTAGCGTTTAAAAAAAAACGAAAAATAATTTAAAGTTAAAAAAAGAATGACTTTTTTAGGGCGTTTTGTAAAGAACACATAAATAGGAAACAAATTTTTTTTCTAGTACAAGTATAACCTTAACCGTGTAACCACTTTGAACCAAACAATTTTTATCAAAAAAAAAACGAATTTGGAAATAGGAAAGTAGGACAAAAACAATGAGTAAACAATTGTAATCATTGGAACTTTTAACTTTTGAAGTATTTCTTGGGTTCATGTGAGAGTTTCGGATCTGGTCATTTCCTGATTCGATCTATTAGATCAAAAAAAAAAAAATAACCATTTACCTAAAAAAAGTATTGAGAATGTCGGAGTTAGTTACTTCAACCTTTTGTGAAGCGGAAAATCGCATCATTGGACCACATTTTTTTTTTTTAGTTAATTTTTTTTAAAATAAAAAATTTAAAAAAATTTACCTTCTTGATTTTTCGCGAAAATAAATATTTTTTTTTCTTATTGTGTAACATTTTCTCACGTTGACCCTGATTTTTCTTTATTGTATCACAAAATAAGGCAAAAAGCAAACAAATAAATATTAATAATTTTAAATAATAATAATTATTATTTAATTTAATTTAAATTATTTAAATTGCTTACAACAAAAATTTATTTCTTCATTTAAGAAATGATTTAATTGGTGCAAAAAAAAAGATTGCTACACGAAAACATCACGAGTTAATATATATATATATATATATGTAATATATCTATATCTATACATTATTTTTATTTTTCGCCGATCAATGTAAGTAAAAATATTTTGTTGATTTGTTGATCTAACTAAAAATTCTTTTAATTAATTAAGCATAAAATTATAGTTTATATTTAATACTTTTTATAATTTCAATTTAACAAATTATTATAAAGTTTTAAAATTTTTCTTAAATTAAAAACAAATCATTTACTTTTTTATATTTATTATTTTTTTTTTCATACAAAATTAAATATTTTTTATTTTTCCCCTATTTTTCCACTTACAAAAAAAATAAAAAAAATATTATTATTTTTATTTTTATTTTTATTTTTATTTTTTTTTTTTATAATATAAATTTTTTTTCCATTTTATTTATTTATTTATATTTATTTTTACAAATAAATAATAAAAAAAAAAATTTTTTTTTTATTATTTCTAAATGATGAACCCGTTATTTTTTTTTTTTTGTACATGTTGTCAAGGCGTAATATTAAAAGTTTATTTTGTAATACTCTTATTTTTCTTTTAAAAATATTAAGTAGTAAATAAAAAGTAAACAAAAGTTATCAAATAATTTAAATTATTATTGTTTTTTCTTTTAATTGGTCTTTAAATTATCAATTCAATAATTTTAATCATTGTGTGTGTAAAGATTTACATAGAACGGGGGTAGATCCCTAGATGTGTATAAGAGACAGGTATAAGCCTTGGATTGATTGGTATAATAATAATAATAATAATGTATTAATAAGATAACAAAACTTTTATAACCCTTTAATAATCTTAAATATTTCCTAATAAGTTTTTTCTTTTTTACAATGACAAAAATTAATCATATATAATAATAAATCTTATGGTATAAATCTTATTCTATATAGAGTATAGAATATTTTTCTTACTCAGCAATGTATTTCATTAAAAATCATAAAATATGTTTGGTAATTATTATGTTTATATGATAATACAAAATTAAAAATCGAAACGAATCAATTAAATTTTTAATTTAATTTAATTTAAAAAATAAAAAAGTTTAAATACAAATTAGGAAAATAGATATAATTCAAAAAAAAATATATCAAATACGCAATCTTATGTGATTTGTAATTTTGTATCACTTATTTTTATATTTCATCTGATGAGATTTCTTTTTAGTCATAAAAAAATATGTAAAATGTAAAATGTAATGTAAAATCTCGGTAAAATAAATCTTAGATGCCGGAAAATTTTTAAAATTAATTTATATTAACATTTAAGAATGAATGGAATGAATGGAATGAATGGTGATAGGCAACCCTTTGACATACCAATTGACATACCACGCATACCACATATACCACTTTTTAACCCCTGTAGGACGGGAAAAAAATACAGATGGTTTGAAAAAAGGTTTGAAAATTTTTATAACTAAAACTGCATACTCGGAAAAATTTATAATAAGAATATGAAATTTACAGTATATCAAACACAACTTTTATTGTATTTAAATATATAGAAACACAGCAAATTAATATTTGTCGTGTTTTTAAATATAGCTAATATATTTGCCGTGGTTTTAAATACAACAAACTAATAATATATTTGCCATGTTTTTAAACACAGCTAATATATTTACCATATATACATAATATATTTGCCAAGTTTTATAATATATTTGCCATGTTTTTAAATATATACAAACTTTATTATAATATATTTACCATGTTTTTAAATATATACATACTTTATTATAATACAGAAAATATATTCGCCGTGCTAAATATTATTATTAATATTTTTTTCTTTCTTAAATTATTTTTTGAAACAGGAGGTTAAAAAAAAAAACTTTAACCATTCTAAACCAAAAGTGTGCTTCATTCAATCTTCGTTCATTTAATATGTGTTGCCCCAAAAAAAGAATCACATAATCATATATTTTTAGAAACGACCTTTTAAGTAGTTTGAATTTTTTACAATGGATCACAATTAAAATTGTCAATAATTAACAATTATGTAATAACCATTCAAATATGTCGTCAGAATATCTCAAGATTGCTTCTCAGAACGCATAATACATAATGTTAATTAATAGTATTGCTACTTGTATTGCTGCATCTTTTTATAACTAATTTTGTTTGTTTGTTATCCAAATTTATTTCATTAACCATCAGGTCACATGAATTGTACCGAGGATTTAAAGTTTTTAAAAAAGCAAACTCGCCTCGTTTATGCAGTACGTCAAGCAACCATAATAGGAAACTCGACCAAATTAAAAGCTACACAAGTTACCCAATCAAGTTTCGTTGATTGGGTCGCTTTCTTTCTGTATTTATGTATTTATGGCTTCGATGCATATGTAAATTTTCTTGCATTCAACGAACAAAACAAAGAATTGTCTTACAAGTATATAAGGATGGATGAGAATTAATTTGTACTGAATTTTTGCATACGGTACTCTTTCTCGAAAAATTTTTACCGTTTGTAAAAAAAAAAAAAAAAAATTTTTTTTTTTTTTTTTTTTTTTGTAAAAGTAGAATGTCAGCGGGTGTAACGGAAGATTTTTAGATGAACATTTAGAGATATTAATTAATTAAATAATTTAATAATTATCGACTTATTTAATAATTATCCGACTTATTTAATATTTATCGACTTTATTTATTATGGTTCGTTTATCAAATAGTTTTACCCTTTTATGTAAAAACTATAATCCTCATAACAAATTTGTTTGGGATACTAGCATATGTATTTGTGATTTTAGAATTAATATTCATGAATGTCCTGAACAAGAAATTCTTAAGATCATAAATTGGGTTTTATTAGCTTATTGTTTATTATTAACAATAGTATCATCAATATGTTTGTACCATTTAATTTATGTTAAGAAACAACCTTTCTTTCTTCCTGCAAGAAAAGATCGTGGAATTTTAAGACCACGTCCACAACACATGTACTATGCTTTGGCTTTAATATATTGTCCATGTAAGTATTGTAAAGTATTATATGCATATATGCTATGTGTAAATCTCATCATATATTTATTTTATTTTATACAGGGCAAATCATTCATATACTTCAACTTGTTAACGATCTTTATCCGAACGTTGCTTGGGCCGAAAGTACATATATTTTATATTTTATATTATAAATTTATTTGTAATTTAAGATTATTAATTAATTATTATTTTTTTTTTTTTATATAATATTACAAGTTTTCCAAATATTACCTCGAACTTTAATAGCATCATTTTCGGTATTATATCCGTTGAGCATTTGTAAGTGTTTGTGTTTTTTGTTTTACGGATCTTACGAATTTTTACGATATTACCAATTTTTATGATCTTCGGATTTTTTACGGATTTTACGCTATTTTAATAAATGACAAAATTTTTATATGTACTTTTTTTTTTATTTTTATATAGTATATTCAACGGGTGCCATTGAATTAGATACAACATTATCTTTAATGGAATCAAAAAAATCTCGGAATTTACTTAAAATAGACATCACATGTATCACCTTAATGTTATTACCTTTCATCATCTTTTTACCATTGGCCGGATTAACAGGTTATTATGCTGATATTGGTAATATTGAGAAAGCGAATAATTATTTTATAGTTCAAAATATATTTTGGGTTTTATGGGGTTCAGGTTATATTGGATCAATGATATATTTTTGGTCAAGATTCATTCCTAGGGTAAAAAAAAATATTGATGATTTAATTTTGAATGATAAAAAAAAGAATCTTGATTCAATATTAGAACAATTCTTACAAAATCGTGATAATGTAAGTATATAATTTATTTTACGTTGAAAGAAACCACGTTGAAACTTGAAACGACGTTGAAATCACGTTGAAACCACGTTGAAACTTGAAACGACGTTGAAATCACGTTGAAATCTCACCGTTGAAATCTCACCGTTGAAATCTCACCGTTGACTAATGAAAATTTCTTTCTTTAGTTAACCTCTCCAGTTATTTGGAAAATAATTCCTGCATGTCTTTTTCTTTTGGTCTTATTTATATACGTGACTCTCCGTAGATCTAATATTATTTTTGTTAATGGGATTAATCTTACCATTATAATTATTTGGAATTATGGTTTACCTATCTTTATTCATGTAATTCAATGGGTTATGATTTATAAGTATGTTTTGATTTAATTCACTTAGTGTTTACGCATTGGGTATTTGTCAACATTGCTTTGGTATGCATAATAACTAAATCTTCTTTTTTTTTTATTAGTACTCATGTGGCATCAAAAAAACCTCCGAAGAAATTACATAGGAATAATAAAAAAATATGTAATAGTAGTCATTATAATAATAATGGTCGAAGTCGTAGTAGTACTATTATAGGAATAGGTTGTGGTAATGATGCTATCATACCTTCAGCTTATCATCGTTATTCTTATTCATCAACAAAAATTTCGAATTATAATAATAATAATAATTCTTCTCCTAGTACAACTTCAAAACATTATAGTAAAAAAGATTTATATAATTCTACTTATTCATATTATAACGTTGATATTAAATCAAAAAAAGCAGAATTGATGAAAAATGGTGTAAGTACAATTCCAAATAATAATAATGATAATAATTATAATCAAAGATTTTCTATTCTTTCTTTACCAGATAATAATAATAATAACAATAATACTAAATCATTACATCATAGTTATAATGGTAGTTCTTCTAATAATGTTAAATTAATTAAGAAATCACATAGAAATACCACTACCACAATTGTTAATAATTATTAAGAAAAAAAAGTTTATTAAAAAAGATTTTGTTATTACAATGAATTAGTAAAGTGTAGTTTTGAATGGAATTGAAAAAGTTTTTTTTTTGAGAGTAGCGAGAATAGGAGAGTAGCGAGAGTAGTGTGAAAGTAAAATAAATGTCTTTTTTTTTTCTCAAAAAATTAAAAAAATGTTTGATTCAAAGTCCTTTTAAATAAAGTCTTTTTTTTTTAAAAAAAAAAAATATTATTATAATAATTAATTATTTCTCATTATTCTATTATTCTTTCTTACTATACTTTTATTCTTTTCATATCAACATTAAATAGTCTATTCCTTCTTGAGAATTTGGATCTCTTTGAATTTGTCTTGTTGTTTACATAAATTACCAACTGATTCTGGTATTGTGACTTTTGATAATTCCGTTGGTAACTCAATAAGTTGCGCGATCATACACCCATTTCAACATCCACTACAAAACATTATAGTAAAAAGGATTTATATGTTGCGCGATCATACCCATTTCAACATGCCACTACAAAACATTATAGTAAAAAAAGATTTATATCGTTCTACTTATTCATATTATAACTTTGATATTAAATCAAAAAAAGCAGAATGGATGAAAAATGGTATAAGTACAATTCCAAATAATGATAATAAATATAATCAAAGATTTTCTATTCTTTCTTTACCAGATGATAATAATAATAATATATTAAATTATTACATCATAGTTATAATGGTAGTTCTACTAATAATGTTAAATTAATTAAGAAATCACATAGAAATACTACTATTACAATTGTTAATAAAAAAAAAGTTTATTAAATAATAATAATAAAAGATTCTGTTATTACAATGAATTAGTAAAGTGTAGTTTTGAATGGAATTAAAGAAAATGAAAAAAGTTTTTTTCTTGAGAGTAGTGAGAGTAGTGGTGAAAGTGAAATAAATGTCTTTTTTTTTTTTTCTCAAAAAATTAAAAAAATGTTTGATTCAAAGTCTTTTTAAATAAAGTCTCTTTTAAAATAAAATTATTAATAATAATTAATGATTTCTCATTATTCTATTATTCTTTTTTACTATACTTTTATTCTTTTCATATCAGTATTAAATAGTCTATTCCTTCTTGAGAATTTGGATCTCTTTGAATTGGAATTGTCTTGTTGTTTACATAAATTACTAACAGATTCTGGTATTGTGACTTTTGATAGTTCCGTTGGTAACTCAATAAGTTGCGCGATCATACCCATTTCAACATGCCACTAAAAAATATATATATTTGATTGGTTAACTTCTTTTTTAAAATTTACTTAAAAAAAAATATAGTAATTTAAAAAAATAATTACCTCAATATGACAATGTATAGACCAGACACCGGGATTATCAGCTTTGTATCGAAATACGGACCAACTATTTTCATTAATAGAAAATTTCACGTTAAATAAATATAATAAATAAATAAACAATCGTTCAAATTACTGGTTCTTACCTGGTTGAGTTCACTACAAATGTATCGCGAGGGAAAGGATCCACTAAATTCAACTTGCTTTCATCAACTACTATTCCTGATCCTGTACCAAGTACATAGAAATTATGTCCGTGCATATGGATTGGATGAATCGCACTATTATTATCTATAATTTAAAAATATAAATTATAAAATTTTTTTTTTAATTTTACTTTGTCTTGTTTATAAATTATAATCAAGTAGAACAATAGTACAAAAAAAGGATTGTTCTCGGTACGGAACTTACTTATATAAGCTATGTCAATAGTTCCACCCAGTTGATCATAAGCATATATATTTTGATTAGCAGGAAATTGATCTAACGGCACGTCATCAGAAACAAATTTTTCTAATGTTGGATTATTATCGTCAACAACAAACGAAGAATTATTTATAAAAGCACGTGTAACATTCTGATCGTCATCTCTAAAAGTTACGACTAATTGAATTTTATTTGTTGCAGGTCCAGGAATTTGTTGAGGTTCGAGTGTTTTCAAAAGATTTGGATCAATACTAAGACAAGGTTCAAGTTGGTCGGGATATTCAGTGGATGTTGGATAACCTAATCCTGCACCATCATATTTTAAAATTCCTGTAACATTATAATTTATCGCTGAATCGAAATTTACTGTTTGGTTATTAATTAGAAGGCATCTATCATCAATCGTCGCACGCATCCAGTAATTATCAACTTTTTGGTTAGCATCAATAATGACAGAATATCTTTGACCAATGGCTACAGGCAATTTATTTACTATTACTGGCTTCGAATATTCTCCATCTGCTTCAATAATCTTTAAAGGATGATTATCGATCGAAAACATAAAGTGGGACAATCCGCTAAAAAAAAAAATTGATATGATTACTATGGTTACTATCCGCAAAAGACCATCCCGGAATAAAAAATTTCATTTTCTATTTACCTTGTATTTATTAAACGAAGTCTATATTTTTTACCGGGTGTAACTTTGTATTCAGCAAGTGGATTGTTTTCCCGACATTCGCTACCAGGTGGAGCAGCAGAACAATTATAACGACCGGCACCACTTATGAGACCAGAATCCGGAATAGGCTATATTTAAATGATAAAATATTTTATTATTAAATTTTGAATCAAATAATAAAAGTATAAAAGTATAAAAAGATTTAATTCGTACATTACGACCGCCATAATTTGGAGACATTCTTATTGCCAACATATCTGATACACGTTGATGATACCAATCCGACATCGTTATAATGTATTCAAAATCATAATCTTTACGGTAAGGGTCATTGGGATCGTGAATGCTTTTTTTTTTTAAAAAAAAGTATATATAAAATATATCGTAAATTGAATACATGTTTCGTGAACTTCGTATTTTGCGGTATATAAGCACCCCATTTTGCACTTAATGCCGGCCAAGATCCTTATGATTCTGGCCAGGTATGCTTATTTTCGGGGGTGCTTACTAACCGCAAAATACGGTAATAATAAAATTATAATATTTACATTAATGGAGCTCGAATTCCTTCCATATATTGACNAAAAAAAAAATTGATATGATTACTATGGTTACTATCCGCAAAAGACCATCCCGGAATAAAAAATTTCATTTTCTATTTACCTTGTATTTATTAAACGAAGTCTATATTTTTTACCGGGTGTAACTTTGTATTCAGCAAGTGGATTGTTTTCCCGACATTCGCTACCAGGTGGAGCAGCAGAACAATTATAACGACCGGCACCACTTATGAGACCAGAATCCGGAATAGGCTATATTTAAATGATAAAATATTTTATTATTAAATTTTGAATCAAATAATAAAAGTATAAAAGTATAAAAAGATTTAATTCGTACATTACGACCGCCATAATTTGGAGACATTCTTATTGCCAACATATCTGATACACGTTGATGATACCAATCCGACATCGTTATAATGTATTCAAAATCATAATCTTTACGGTAAGGGTCATTGGGATCGTGAATGCTTTTTTTTTTTAAAAAAAAGTATATATAAAATATATCGTAAATTGAATACATGTTTCGTGAACTTCGTATTTTGCGGTATATAAGCACCCCATTTTGCACTTAATGCCGGCCAAGATCCTTATGATTCTGGCCAGGTATGCTTATTTTCGGGGGTGCTTACTAACCGCAAAATACGGAAAAAAAAAAAAAAAAAAATCGAGACTAAAAAAGGATTAATTTAATTTAATTCAGATTAACTTACTTGTCCTGATACTCCATCATACCTATTTTTTACAAAGTCAAAATTTAAATTTTTATTATTATTTTTTCTTACGAAAATGAGGTAATTTTGATGTAAATTAAAAAATTAAAAAAATGATTTACATACCAATTAGTTCCTCTCTGAAACATTCCATGCCAATGGATAACTATTATTATTGAAGGTATTAAGATGAAAAACGTTCACAGATCTTTCAATTAAATACACAAAAATATATGAAAAAAAAAATAATTTTTTACCTGACGGTTCACCAATATTATTTTTTACTGTAACTTGAATTCTATCACCTTTATTAGCATGAATGACAGTACCGGGATATTGACCATTGATTGCAAAAATTGTTTTCGTAAAACCATCTGGAGCTAAATTTATTTGGGACAATTCAACTTCGTAACTTCTTGTTATAGGATTAGGCGTTGGCTCCAAAGGAATATAAGGTGTAAAAAGGCCATTATCTTTGTTTTGTCGTTTATGTTTTAATTGCTCAGAAAAAGTTGATCTTGAAAACGCAGATATCACGAATAAGGTTATTATGAGAGCAAAAATTCTTTTAATATTCCCCATCTTTTTTTTTAATTGAGACGCCTTATCCTGTTCGAACGAGAAGTATCCTTCCTAAGAAGCGTATTTATACAAATTTATCAAATATTAATCATTGATAAAAGATAAATATATACATAAAAAAAAATATTAAATCAATTCATACAAACCCCATAATAACTTAAATTAAAAAAACCAGTCCAACCTGCTGTTGCATTACTATCAATAAACCAAATTTGTTGAAATGATAGACGAGGACAACAAATTGTGTAACGTTAATTATTTAGCTAATAAAGGGAAGCCTTTAATTTCTAATTATATATTTGTTTATTATATGAATTTACCAAATTAATAAATTATTTTATCGTCCGGCGCAGAGTAATAAGGGACAATATGATCTAAAAATAGGGGGTTAGGATATATTTAATAAAATCTCGGAATTTCATTTATCTTGTAGTATGAAATTTACCTTAATGGGTAATGACTGAACCCGAACCTGAAAAATTTTTTTTTTTTGAGGAGGTCGAATTCAATAGATTTTATGTGAGATTGTAGAAAATAGAATTTATTATTAACCCTTCGGTTACACATCGCTAAACTTTTTTAAACTGGATCAAATATTGCTATTTGCTAAAGAATTAAATTCGTATAACACGGAGTATGAAACGCGAAGTCGACGTAACCATTTGAATCAAAGAAAAGGTTGCGATTTCTTTCATATCTAAAATTGGAAATACATTTATAATTATTTCGAAAATTATTAAAATTTCATCAACTAAAATATACCGTATAATAATAATGTTAGTTGTACATCATCATACGATTTTCACAAAATTCACATGACAAGTTATTTTTGTCAATAAAATAAAAAAAAAATGTATTATGCAATTAACTCGGCATGAGGACCTAAAGTATTTTAAGTAATTTGGATTATGGTCTATTATTTATGACTAAAGCTGCAGTTTTTTTTTATGTAATAATAATTGATTAATTTTACGAAAATGAATATCTTATTTTCTCTTTTTTTTTTAAAAAAAAAAAATGAAACAAGAGAATAAAAAAAAAAAAATTTTTTTTTTTTTTTTTTAAACATATCAGGAATTCATTCATTTATTCAAAAAGAATTTTAACAATAATATTATTTTATTATTATCCCTAAATATTTTTTTGCATTTTTGTTTGCATTTGTTTTTGCGCTTTTTTTGCTTTCTGCCTTATTATTTTTTACAATTTCCTTCTTTTTTCGAAAACGGTTATTTCATTGTCAGATCTTATAGATGATGATTGAATCTTTTTTTTAAAAAAGTTTTATACTACAGTACTACTACAGTAATATCTAATCTTAATTTCACTAATTAATAATGTTTGTTTTTCATTTTTTTTTTTGAAAAATTACGATTGTATGAGTTTTATGAGTTCTCTAATTTTTTACTATAAAAACTTAATTCCGCTAATTTATAATATTAATAATTTTTTTGTTTATTAAGTCGATTTAATACAAAATAAATTTAGCGGAAAAACTTTAATTCAAAATATGATATATTATTTTCTTTCTTTTCTTTTCTTTTTTATTGGTGAAGATAGAAAACTATAAAAAAATTATAAGTAGTACTAATTTAAGAAAATACCGTACAAGTATATTTTAAATAAACAAGATTGATTGTCCATTCTATTACGACATATGTAAAAATAAGCAGAGAAAATTCGGAAGATCAAAAAAAAAAAATAAAATAATAAAAATTACTTTAAAAAGAAATGGCAATAACAATTCTCTCTTTGTTTAACTTTCTTCCGAAACCTCAACACAATTTACTATTTATAATTTACTATGATGTCAATCGGTGTGACTTGTGTGATCAACTTCGTCCTGCGTAAAACATAAAAATTCTATGAATAAATATTCTATAAAGAAAAATTTTTTTTATTGAGTAAAAAGATATAATTTAATTTTATTAGTCAATATTAAATGTCAATAAAGTTGATGTTACAAACCATCATGCAATAGATGCTTTATCACATCTTTGAGTGTTTCAGATTGATCGATCGATATATTAAAATGGAACTCGTATCTTGCATTGTCTAATTTTAATATCAGCTTATTCCAAGGAACTATGGAAACTACGGAATCTACGATCGGACTTCGGAATAATTCAATAAATTTTTACTTACGATGATTTTCACCAAGAATTATGTCATGTTAATTTTTTTACGCTCTATTTCATGTCTATCATTCCGGTTTCCGATCATTCATGCAGGGCAGGTAGTAACTATATGCTATGCATCCCTCCCAAAAAATGATCCTTGATTTTTCAATTAAGTAAATTATTTAATTGTTTAAAAATGTTAAAATTAAATAAACATGTTGTGTAAAAAATAGTCGGCCTCCAAAAGCTGTACGGCTATAATTCGAAGGGTTAGGTTTCACTGTTTCAAACTGTGTAGAACGATCAAAAATAATCATATCGCAACGTTGGTCCTGAAGAAGTTGCGTAAAAGTAGTAAATTGTGTGCTGATCTCCCATTTCCATCCCTTACCCGGTTACCCCTAACATACTGTTGTAATAACCTGTAATTCATAAATTGCGTGTAATATTTTTTAATGAAATAATTTCTAATTTAGCCAAATATAGACAATAAGTTCCAACAAGTTCTTAGAAAAATGGCAAGAACGGTAAGAACGAAAAGTCCAGTTCCTGTAAGTGTAAGCCTGTAAGGACTTCAACTAAATTCCCCTGAACCCGTTAATCAAGAACATCTAATTACTATTTATAATTTCAAAAATTATTTTTTTTTTTCATCCGTTAATATTTACAGTCGTTGATGATTGGTCTTTTGTTAAAATCCGAATTTTAGCATCCTTTTAATAAATTCGAGGAGCGCATTTAAAATATTTGGTGATCCTGAATCAAAAGGCATTAATTCTTACTAAATATATATTTGATGCTATAGTATAATATTTTTGTTCTCCAAATTCATATATGTCGTAACTACTTTGCACATGCTTAGAATTTACATGTTTACATATGAAATAAATGTTCTCCAATCCGCATCTGAATGTACATGCCAGATTTCTGTTATCAGATCCATCTGATTATCTATAAAGGTTATAATTGTGGCCATTAACAATTTCGTTTATTTTTAAACCAATTTTATTGTGAATAATCCATTGGTCCGTCTATAACCTATAAACGGTTAACATCATGATTTTCACACGTGCCGTATCGAACATTATCTTTTTGAATAAGTGTTTGAATATTCAAAAAAAAGAAAAAAAATTTGTAATGAATAATTAAATTATAGGTTTTTTAATTAATAACACACAATTGTACTTCGTTTATGATTGTGCAAATTAACAATAACAATTATTCGTTCAGGTAACAATAAAGTAGTCAACCTTCTTCGATGAAAAAAGAAGTAAGGCTGTATTTATTATAGGTTAGTTGGAACATAATCTTGTTTTGTAACAAGTGTTTCTTGATACAATTGTACTTTGGTTATGATTATCAGAATTAACAATTATTTGGTTAGAACAGCGTAGTAGATAATTAATCGTTCTTTTGATGAAAAAAAGCTTCATTATGAGTTATTACACTTAATTTTGTCAAATCTGAAATATCATTTTGCCCAAATTATGCCCAATTTGTTAAAATTATAATATTTCATTAAATTTAGAAAATTATTAATACTTTACTGTTCTATTATAATTTATTCGAATTTTGTTTTGAGCTTTTATGAGTAAGTAATTATTATTAAAAATGATGGTGAAATATTTTTAACCAGAAAAGAGGTAAACATTTTTTTTGAATTGGGTAAACAGTTGCCTAATTGGTATTAGACTAAATAATTTTAGTTCCGCCCTAAATATTGCTTTAAAGTTTCATTATAATAATTCCAATTCTTTCGAAAGAAAAAAAATCCGAATCATTTTTGTTTATTGTAAACTTTTTATAACTAATAATGTTTATGTTTTTAATCAAATATTTTAAAAAATAAAGAAATTTGTCAAATTCATTTTACATTTACACTTATAATAATTACATCGATTATTTTACTAAACGTCATGATTTTTTAATTAATACAAAACATAGCAAAAGATACAAAGCGTAGTGAAAGATACAAGGATACATGGCGTATCGAAAGACATTTCTCTTTGTTTAACGCTTATCCAAAACGTTAAATGAATATACCATTTTACTATTTTTAATTCGCTATGTATGTATGATGTCAATCGGTGTGATCATACTCATAATACTCGCCCACGTAAATCATAATCTATAAATAAAAATTCTATAAAAAAAATTTTATTTTTAATTTAATCATAGTCAAATGTTAAATGTCAAAAAAAGTTAATGATACAAAAATATTAAAAGTATTACTATCACGTAATAAATTCTATCGCGCGTTTAAATGATTCATATTTACCAGTTTAATTTTTTGATGATTCATTGCCAAGAAATTACGGAAGCTACGGAAATCTATAATCGGATCAATTCAATTAATAAATCGTTGCCAAGAAATTAAGTTCTGATTTTCACGATAATTTTCGCCAAGAATCATGTTCGAGATTTTCATGTTAATTTTTTTTACACTCTATTCATATCTATCATACCACAGTTTCCTAAACATCATGCAAGTAGTAATATGTTATTTAGTCCTCCCAAAAAATGATTCTTAAGTAAATTATTTAATTGTTTAAAAATGTTATAATTAAATATGTTGTATAAAACTTACACTAAATAGTCTTTGAACGTAGGACCCCAAAGCTGTATGGCTACAATTTGAGGGATAGGTTTCACCGTTTCAAACTTTGTGTAGAACGACCAAAAATAATCATATCGTAATTCTGGTCCTGAAGAGATGCGTGAAATAGTAAATTGTGTGATCTTCCTTACCCCTAAGTCTTAACACTGTTGTAAAAACCTATCTGACATTAATTTTTTACGTAAAACATAACCTTTACAAATTATACATTTGATGCTACAGTATAGTTTCGTTTAAACGGTCAACGCCATGATTTTCGCGGCTAATTTACGTCCCGTATCTTTGATAGCTCGGAG